AGTTTTAATTCCAGTGATGAATCCGGGTCTCCTCCAGCTGGAAGATTGCAAACAGTGGTCTGAACCATTTCTGGATCATTCTCCCTCCCTCTGTTGACTTGCAGCTCGAGCTTTGTGCCGCACAGTTCAGCTGGAGCTCAAGGAGGGTCCCTTTGTCTGGGCTGCAAAGCCTCTGTCCTTTCGTCCCCTCTGCGGTTGAAGGCAGCACCCCTGATTAAATCCTCGAAGAAGCAGCAATTCTGTGTGCTCATTACTCAGTTCTGGCTATGTTCTGCTTAATAACTAAACAGTAATTAGCTCCACAGTTTTGCTACTATACTTATAATAGCCCCCATTAAAGTTATGGGGTTTTGAGGCAGTAATGGCTTACAGAGTAATTAACGAGCAAGAGGCTTTTATTACTACCTTTATTTTTAGCCTGTGCTTTACAAGGCTTTCCTGCCAAACACCAAAATCTTAGAGAGAGGCTTTTCCTGGTGTGGAAAGGAGCAGGGATGTGTGTGGAGCAGCTGGAATGGCAGAGCCCTGGTTACAGAACCACATAATCCCAGAATGGTTGGGGTTGGAGGGGACCTTAAAGCTCCTCTCCTTCCATCCCCTGCCATGGGCAGGGACACCTCCCACTAGCCCAGTTTGCTCCAAGCCCTGTCCAGCCTGGTCTTGGACACTTCCAGGGATGGGGCACAGAATCATAGAATCCCAGGATGGTTTGGGTTGGAAGGGACCTTAAAGATCATGGAGTTCCAAGCCCTGCCATGGGACGCTTTTCCTCAGAGCAGGTTTCTCCAAGCCCTGTCCAACCTGTCCCCTTGGCCTCAGGCTCTGCTGTGCTGGGGGGTTGCTGAAACCTCCCCGTGCCTCAGTTTCCTCTGGCTGAGCCTGGGTGTGAATTCAGAAGGGTTTTTGGGTCCCAGGGGTTGTGCTCCAGCTGCTCCGTGGATTTTGCTGGGCAGAGCAAAGGGACCAGCTCTGCCTTGTGCTGCTCCAGCATCATTTTTCAGCAGGGATCAGAACCAGTCGCTTTTGCAAAAGCAAAAGGAACCCTGTATTTAGATTTAGGGGATACTTTGCCCAGAGGGAAAAGCTGCTGGTGAGAATATACTTTTTTAATCCTGAAATGTGAGTATTTATTTATTTTGCAAAGCTTTTGTTGCAGGTTTTGGCTGTGTTTGTTTGTTGTTTCCCGGCTGTTTTGGAACACAACTGTTTGCTGTGTTTGTTTGGGGTTTTCTGAGTGTGTTTGCCTTACATCTAGACAATGTTTTTACTCCAGTGCCGTGTATATACACAAACTCAAATCAAGCCGTTCTTCAGTTTAACGTTTTTTAAATCACTTCTGTTCGATGTGGGCAAACCAAGGATTAATGACACTGGGGCTGAGCAGCCCCAAAGGAGGGAAGAAGGTAAAACTGACTGTAAAGGTTGCAGATCAAATTAGTGCTTCCTATGGCAAGTGTCAGAGCTGATGCCAATTAAGTTGATTTAAAAAAAGAATCTTCACTGTTTAATAATCCAGCATGTTACTGACACGTGGCTCCAGGCTTTATTAAAGCTTTTTTATTAGATGAGTGCCCTTTCCATACTGTCATGCCTCGACACCATTGCCCTCTGCCGGAGGATGGGGTTCTCTTTCGCCATGTGGCATCAGATTCTTTCCAAACACCTTTGTTTTAGAAGTATTTTAACCCCGAAATCACTTGCATTTGAGCTGATGATTTGTGTCTTTACCTCGCTTTTTCGAGACTGGAAAAAAAAGAAATAGGAAGAAAGTATACTTTCTGTAGTGGGAAATAGAGCTTGATTTTTTAAATGGATGTTTAAATTTGTTCCTCCTCCTTCTTTTCCCTGTGGAGGAGGAGATAGCAGAAGCCTTAAACTGACAATCTGAACAAAGCAGGTTTTGTTTTGAACGTTTTCAGTGGAAAAAGAAGAGTGGTATCATGATGGGGAAGGGAATAGAGGAGCCCCTTCCCTTCAAGGGAAGGGCCTTAAAGAGGAGCATCGTTTTTCCCAGCCCAATTTTTGGCTGGTGCCATAAACAGCAACAAAAAGCATAGTTTGGCTCTGGCAACAAGGGATTTTTGGGATGCAGGGCAAGCCCTCTGTCATGGGCTGTGAAGCTGTGATTTCTCTCACCAGCAGTGTAAAATCACAGGCTACCATGTAATTCCTGGCTGGTGTTGCTCACAGGAGGACATGGATTTCACCCCTGGCAGCTGCAGCACGTGGCAGTGAGGGGGGAGCATGGTTTTGTTGCCCTGGGAACTGCTGTCACCCTGGACCAAGGCCCTCCGTGGTGTGCTGAGAGGGAACATGCTTGAAATACTTTGGATGGAGATCTCACAGCACTCACAGCAGCCCCAGGGGAGCTCTTACCCTGTCCTTCAGTGGGGCTCCTCGGGGTCATCAGTAAAAGCAATCCCTTCAGGAACTGGCAGGGAGCAAATGCCTTTGCTGCAGGGCAGAGTCCCTGGTGGTCCGTGGATGCAGCTCAGGGTGGGTCAGAACTGGGGGTCGGGCTGTGGGCTGTGGCTCCACATTCCACCCATCCCACTGTCTCCATCTCCAACTGGGATCCACGCTGGGGTCGTGTCCCTTTGAGGCACAGAGGACATTCCTCACAGCCACCGAGCTGACTCACATCTGCAGCTCAGAACGGCCCAGGGTGCAAGCAGAGCTCAGCCAGCTCCAGGGGGGAATGGAGGGGACCATTCCCTGTCCCCTGGAGCTCCCTGCTGCCAGCCCAAGCCAACAGCTCTCTGTGCTGGGGCACGAGTGGGCTGTGCTGGCCCTTGGCAGCTGGAGCTGCACAGTGACAGCTGATGGACCAGGGAGCTGCCAAATGCTCCATGGTAAATTAAAAGGAATCGATGCTGGAGAGACCAGTGCACAAATCACTGGAGCCTGCTCGTTTTCCCTGGTGCTCAAGGGCTGGAAATCAGAGCAGCAGCTCAGCCCAGAGGTGCCCATTGCCCACCCTACCGAGCCCAGGGTCAGCCTGTCCCGTGGGAGGGGGCTGAGTTGAGCCTGGATTGGCAGGAGGCAGGAAAAGGCAGCTTTGAGGTGGGAGCGCTGCGTTTGGAGGAAGCTGCCCCTGACAAACAGGGCATTTGATGCGTGCCAGCCCACCGTGGCAGCTTGCCACGGGCTGGGAATGGACTCTGAGTGGCTCTTTTAGCCTCTCATTTCCTCCCACCCCCTCTCCAGCGGCAGAGCCCTTTCCTGGGTGCATTCCTAGGGAAGGCACTTCACCGGGGAAGGGGCTGAGGCTTTTCAGCTGCCCCTCATGGCTCTGCCCTACGGGGATGCCCAAGGGACGTGTTCCAGCTTTATTAGAGGATTCAAAGGATGCCAACATTCCGTGTCCTCTGCTCAGCAGCTGCAGGGACAGCAGAGATGAGGCCACATGCTCTTTCCTGAGGGCACTGTGCTTCAGCAGGGCTGGGCCAGCGGGATTTCTCTGGCTCCAAGAGCCCCGAGAGCTGGACAGGGATGCAGCAGAAGGCTGATGTTTGCTGGAATAATTCCTCCTCTTTCTCCCTGCTTTATTTGGTCTGCTTTCACCAATGAGAAAAATGAAAGAACTCTGAGTGGGGGACTGGGTGTTTGTTGGAGTTGGCTGGAAATTTTTGATGAGTTCAGGTTTTGTATGTGTGGGAAAAAAAATGGGTGCACTGAAACTTTAGTTGAGGGATATTTTTTTTTTTTTAGGGACAAAGCCCAGCCTGTGTTCTCCTCACCCCTTGTTTTCCCTGGTAAATTAATACCTCTGTGATTGGAGTGCTAATTTGGAAGAACCGGGCTCTGTCCAGCAACTTGAATATCAATATTCCTTTAGGGGGACAACTTGTCAGTTCTTGGAGCCATTTCGCTCCCAGTCTTCCACTGGGCTCAGTGCCGGAGCCTGACTGTACAGCCCAGTGGCCAAAGCATGGCCAAGGGAAATTCAGATCCATCCAATTTGGGCTAAGCAGGGATTTGAACCTGGATTTCTCCACGCTACCAAGAAAAAGCAAGCTCAGGGACAACATTTGCAAAGCAGCATCACATCCACAGCCCAGGCTCGGGGAGCTCGCTCTGGTTTAAGGAGGGGATCTGATAATTTCCAGGTCACTGGTGGTGATGGACCAGGCAGTGGGAGATCAGTGCTTTTCCCAGAGCAGTTTTTTCCCTGTGTCTCCCACCGTGGTGTTCCCGGGCTCTCCCTTGCACTGCAGCCCTTTTAGCAGCCGCCTAATGCGTTCCCCCACATGGGAGCAGTGGCACTAAACTGCTACCCATGTTTGCAAACTGCCCACCCTGCGTGGCCCTGCTAAGTGCTGTGCTTTGCCTGCCAAGCTGCTTGGATGAAATACAGTCTGCTTAAATCTTGTATGTGCTCGTGTGGAATCAAACTAAGCCGTTGTGGCACTTTAATACACTCCAGCCGCAGCACCTCTGGGACGGAAGGAGTGAACCTGAACAGGCTGCTGGAAGCCTGGGCTGGAATGCCAGTGGGATGGGCTGAGCTGAGAGGAGTAGTGATGGGAAAAACGTGGGATCACCAGCTGCACTGGAGCTACACTCCCAGGAGCAGAGGTGCAGCCGCCCCGAGGGCTCTGCCCGGCCCAGGGACAGGGTCTGGAGGGTCACAGCCCTTGCTGATGGGTCAGCCAGTGATTTGGTCGTGATGGTCTCTGCTCTCTCCTTGGCCTTGGGCCTGGCACGTGGTGTGTGAGGCTTGGCTGCCTTGTGGTGAAGGTCCTTTTCCCCTTGGAATGGTTCAGACGCTGCGGCACTGAGCAGCTTTCGCTTGGCTGGAGCAAGGGCCTTGCTTGACAAGTGCATGCAAAGGAAAGCAAGGCTCTGCACACCCAGAAGGCATCTCCCTGGAGGGGTGGGACACATTGCTGCTGCTCACTGCCCCAGCTGGATTTGTTCTTCTTGAGGAGATTTGTGAGCTCTGGGAAGCAGCTCCCCAGTACTTTTCTCTGCCTACTCGCCTTTGCTCTCTGTTGCAGGTTTCCTTCCAAATGATTCCCTGAAGTTCCTGCTGGCAGCTCCAGCAGTGCCCTGCAGAAGTGCCCTCCTGCTCCTGGTCTCAGCAGCCGAGGCCCCTCCAAACCTGCTTCTGCAATGGGTGGGTTGTAAGCACTGGTAAGACCCACGAGTCGTGTCGCCTTCGCTGCTCTCTCCCTCTCTCGCGTTCTCTCTCTGTCCCTGTTCCTTCTTGCCCATTTATTTCTGTTCTCCATGTGCTCTGCTGTTCTGTCTCTGGGGTTTTCACTGTCAGGTAATGAGGAGCTGTGGGTCCAGTCAGTCTTGGAGATGCCGAAGAGACGAGACATCCTGGCTATCGTGCTGATAGTTCTGCCCTGGACACTACTAATCACCGTCTGGCACCAGAGCACCATTGCTCCACTGCTTGCAGTGCACAAGGGTGAGAGAAATCAAACCAGCCCATGCCAAGTCTGTGCATCCCTCCCTCGTCCTCATCTCCTCTCTCATTTCATTTCTTCATGGCAGCCCATGCTCATCTCAGCTCCCAGACCATGCTCATGCAGGAGCCTCCCCACTTCTGCTGTAGGGCCAGCCCAGTGCTCGTAGGGGTTCCTCACAGACATCAAACTCCAAGTCATGGGATGTGCTTACTGCACTTGGAGAGCTCTTTGTGGCCTAAATCCAGAGTACTGCTTGTCTTTGTTCCCTGATGAGAGGATTCCCTTCCTGCTGACCTTTTCAGCTCTCTGCACACAACTTTCCAGCAGGAAAGCTGCAAAAAGGAGAGCAGAGGAAACAAAGCTGCTGCTTGAGACGTGAGGCAGAAAGCACCTTTTAAGGAAAGCAGCAAACTGGAGCCCTTGCACTTGAAGGAGATCTCACCTGCCTGGTGGAGTTACAGTGCTATGAGAAGTTGGCTTCCACACTGCCTGTCACACACTGCAGGAAACAGAGCCCTGGCCCAAATCAGGTGACTGAAGGAAGTTCCCAGGGAACCTCTCTGGCCTGAAGGGTCTTAGTTTTGATCCTGTTCATGGCACAGCATGATATCTATCTATCTTCCACAGCAGCCATATCTAAGGGCTGTGGAAGCTCTCGGGGGCTGGAAGAAGCCACGCTGCCTTCTGCCTTCTTCTTGGTTCTGCCCTTCTGCTGAGGGCAGGGGGGCAGCTGGGGGGGCTGCTCTGTGGGGAAGAAGGCTGGCTCATTTTCAGGTCCCCTCCATCCTTCCTGGCCCCTTCCTCTGGGAGATTCTCTTCCCTTTTCCTTTTGGTGTTTGTCCCCATCCTCCACAGTTGATTATCCCTCTGCTGATGTGCAACTTGAACTGTAGAAGTTCAGAGTCTGTCCTGAGCAGCTTTACCTTTCCCCTGACAGCCACCCATGAAACTCTGAGCAGGGAAAAATGACTGTGATCCCCTCTGGAAGGTGGACAATGTTTCAGAGGATGAGGGATCTGCTGGGCTCTAAAACAGGACTTTAAATACTACTAAGAATATGCTGTCTGCCTGTAGAGCATTTTGATTCACTGCCCTGGAAACTGGCAGCTGTTTTCTGTGAATGGCCAGTGAAGTTACAGCACAGAGACTGCTCTGCTCTGACTCAGTGACTTACTGATGACCTTGCTAAGACACTTCTCTGCTTCTCTGAGCCTCCAGTGGAAAGTGAGTGGGGATAGAGACCGACCTGAAAGCTCTTGAGAGAAATCATTTTGTTCTTGTGAAGCATTTCTGAGGTCCTTTGGTAGCAGGTGCTGGAAGAGATGTGCACCTGGAGATGCCCAGAACAGCAGTGCTGCCACGTGCCAGGGTTTGCAGCTGAGGGTTTGACCTGCAGGGGTTTGCAAACTGTCCCAGGCACCGTCCTGGCTAATTACATTTGTGTCCGTGTCCAATGCATTTTGCAGATTTATTTTTGAATTCATTCCAGTGTTCTCTGCTTTCAGAGGGCTCTGCTATGTGATGATGTGCTTTGCCTTATATAGGGAGTGATATCAGCCTGTGCAGGACACCTCATCCCTACTCCCTCCCCTAAATATCCCCCCTCCCTCTGACAACGCCATGGAGTACAAGGCCCTCATTTGGTTCAGGACTGCTATCAAAGTCTGTGCAGCTGGAAGAATAACATGCTATGAAAAAACCATAGGCAGTACCCTGCTGGGTCAGATCTAATGGCTGTCTGTTCCTCTTCTTTCTCATCTGAAGTTCCTGGGAGTAGCTGGTTTTGCAAAATCTGTGGCTCAAAGTATTCTGTGCCCACTGGAGAGGCAGGCTTACATCCTGAATGGAGGTCTCCCTTCATCTCTCTAGACCATGGCATTCCTGCTGCTCTGCAGTGGAAACTGTGGAAGTTGCACCCTGGAAAACCAACAGGTGCATCAGCGTTGTATTTTTCCTTGAGCTGACGGTGAACAAGTCTATTTGCAAGGGTTTGACGTGTTTGGATCAGTGTATCTGATCTGTATGATGTTCATTGTTCACATCCACACTGCTGGATGGGCTGCTCTGTTCGGAGGTTGGTGGGATCTTTTTGAGGAGAGGTTAGTCAGAGGCAGGTGAAAGTCTCTGCAGGAAAAAGCCTACAATTACAGGCTTTAATTCCTCTCCATTGCTGGGTTTGAAGTGTGTCTTTCCCCACTTCTCTGTGCCCCATCTGTGCCTGTCAGAGAGCAGAGGGGTTCTGCAGTGTCCTGCTGCTGGAGGTCTTCACTGGGTTGGTGTTTTCCACCAGTTAGTTCCCTGCCTCCTAATCCAGGTGCTCCAGTGGCTGAGTGCAGAGCCACGAGTTCTGTCCCACTGAGCATGGTGCCCAGAGCCCGGGAGCTCTTCGGGAATGTTAGATCATCAATCCACTTGGCTATTTCCTTTATCTAGATCTAATTCCTCTACAATCCTGTCTCTTCTGGGTGCTTTTTGAAGCTGCTTCTTGTGAGCTCTCCTCAGCGCTGTCCTGAGCTCCCGGGGCCTCGTTCGGTGCTGGTTTTCTAACAGCAGAACCCTCTTTTCTCACGTGTGTTCGTCCCTGAATCCTTTATTTATTTGTGTCCCTGTTTATTAAAGCCTCCATCCAAGCCTCCTTTCCTCTGAGCCCGCGGGGGTGACGTGCTGTTAGCCAGCAGCCTGGCTCGCTCGGGGGGTGTCGGACGCCCCAAGTCCATGCGGCTTTCTCTTCTCTCCATGCCCTTGCCCAGATGATGGTGGTGACTCCCAGCGTGATCTCGCTGCAGGCTTGGACTCCAAGGAATACTGCCTGTCGGACCGGGACATTGTGGAGGTGGTGAGGACAGAGTATGTTTACACGCGCCCACCCCCGTGGTCGGACACCCTGCCCACCATCCACGTCGTCACCCCCACCTACAGCCGGCCCGTGCAGAAGGCCGAGCTCACCCGCCTGGCCAACACCCTCCTGCACGTGCCCAACCTGCACTGGATCCTGGTGGAGGACTCCCAGCGCCGCACCCCGCTCATCACCCGCCTGCTGCGGGACACGGGGCTCAACTACACCCACCTCAACGTGGAGACCCCCCGCAACTACAAACTGCGCGGGGACATGCGGGACCCCCGCATCCCCCGCGGCACCATGCAGAGGAACCTCGCCCTGAGGTGGCTGAGAGAGACCTTTAACAAAAACAACAGCCAGCCCGGGATTGTTTACTTTGCTGATGATGACAACACCTACAGCCTGGAGCTCTTTGAGGAGGTAAGGCTCTGCCTGGAGCTCTTTGAGGAGGTAAGACCCTGCCAAGGGGTGGGGTGAGCGTGGGGTGGGGGTGAAAAATGCTGTGAAAAGTACTGGGCAAGTCCTCTCCTGAGCTCTGCATCAGTCTGCTCTGGACAGTGGTCCCACTGCACCCATCCTCAGGTTTTCTCTGGGGCTTCTCCATTCTGTGTGTCTCCCAGAGTCATTCATCCAGGAACTAACACCGTGCGAGGTCCAGGAATGTTTCTGCAGTGTTTCATATAGCCAAGAGGAGAAACTGTTTGCAGTGTCTTCCCAAGACCCATTTCATCTGCCAGGATGCACTGATGCCGTTTGCATAAAGAGAAATGAGCCAGTTCAGTCCTGGAACTGATAATCCCATGACTTTCCCCATTTCACATATGATGGAAATTCTTCAAATCGAGTGTGTGAAGTAACAGGAACCTCAGTTTACCTGTGGCATGTGATTAGGAGGCAGCTTTCACTGCAGAGGAGGCTAATGAGGAGCTGCCCTCCCCTGTGGGGAGCCTTGGTAGGGTTGGAACATCCCCTGCAGTCCAACATGCCTGTGCAGAAGCACCTGCCTAGAAGAGAAAGCTCGGCCATGCTCCTTCCACACCACATGCTGCAGGAGATTCCCAGCTGGTTCCTGAGCTGGTGTTATCCACCTTCCTTCTCCAGCACTTGGCTGTCTGTTAATTCCTGTCAGTTCATGTCCCTGTACAGGACCCAAGAGTCACCCCCTGTGCCCCAGAGGATCAGCCAAACCCTCCTGGAGCTCTGGCAGCCTTGGTGCTGTGCCCACTGCCCTGGGGAGCCTGGTCAGTGCCCAACCACCCTCTGGGGGAAGAACCTTTGCTTGAGATCCAACCTGACCCTCCCTGACACAGCTCCAGCCATTCCCTGGGTGCTGTCCCTGGTCACCACAGAGAAGAGAATTTCAGCATGTCCTGACAGTATTGTTGGGCTTGAGCAGGGGAAGGTTTCCATGTGCTTCCTCACCTTTTCTGTTTGTTCCACTCCAACTGGGGCTCTAAATGAACTCCTGAGCATCTCCCAGTCTTGGAGGGTGTTACAGTGCCAGCTACACTGTTCCTCACCTGGCTTCTAGCTCAGAAATTACTTGTTCCCTTGCTCTCCTGAGGCCAAACTCTTGCACAATGGACAAGAAAGGAGGATTGCTCCCTTCCCTGCCAGTTGCCAGTTTTCCTACCAGGGATCTCCTATTTATTTCCTCATACATACCTCTTTCCCTTCCCTGATGGCTCTCACTTTAGCTTGGACAGCCACAGGAATACACACACTTTTAAAAGCTGAAAGTGAATTCAGACTGAATTTCTTTCTTCCCCAGACCCCTTTGAGGTTGCTCTGGCAGCATCTTGAGGCAGACTCCACACATGAATAAAGCAGAGAGGGTTCCTTCATTCACTTATGTGCTTTGCTCGTAGAGCCTTCTCCTCTCTGATATGTCTCTGCAGTTGAGGTCACAGGGAGCCCAGGAAATGTGCTGTGAAATGCAGGAGACACACATTATTGCTCCCTGTGGACAGGGGCTGCCGTGAGCATCTGTATAATGCAGAAGGGCAAGTGCCAGAGCTTTTCTGCTCTTGTTTGCAGTAATTAGCAGTGATGAGATTAGCTCTGGGAGATCCCTGCTCTAAGAGACCGAGCTGAGAGCAGAACAGGAGGCTGAGCCTGCCAGAGAGCAGGGCAGGGTGCTGGGGGTGAGCTGAGTGGGCAGACTGGCATCCAAGGCATCTGCCTGGGCAAGTGCAGGCAGCTGAAATGGCCCCTGGTGGCTCTTCTCTATTTCTGGTGACTCTGTGGGGAGCAGAGGCATCCAGTGCTGTGCTGATGGGTGGGAGCAGCTGGAAAGCACCGTGTCTGTGCTTCCCAGCTGCCCCCGAGGCTGTGACCTGCAGGGCCTTGCTCTAAAGATGCCTTTAGCCTTACCGTGGCCCATGGGCTGAGACTGAGCTTAAATACCTTAGCAGAGACCACCTTTCTTCCTAGATATGCCATTCCTGCATTCCCAGGATTGAACAAGGTGCTTCCCTGCTGTGCCTTGATTTCCCCAGCTGCTCCATGTGGAGCCCCACAGCTCTAAAAACCTTTGGACAAAAAAGAACCAACAGCCCACTCATAAATCCCCGAGGCACTTATTATTGGCAGCTTTGTTTTTAGTGCTGAGCTGGTTCCGTGGCCATCCATTACCAGTGCTGTTTTTAGCTGCCACTTTCCAAAGCACTTTGCAGAAACAATCTTCTTAACACCAATTTGTAGATGTTAAAAAGGACATTCTCCTTTATTCACCGTGCTGCACATTTGGAGGAGAGCTCCTCTAATTGAATGTGCCAAGTGACAGATGGACAGGGCTTTTTATTACACATACTGTTTACATATTCATTAGATGCTCTTGCTTACTTAATACATATTCATTAGTTTGCTTTACATAGCCACACCTATGTTGGAAGTTCTTCTTTGGTCCTTCCAGGGTCGTGTTCATCATCTGGACCTCAGTTCCTGGGCAGGTACAACGTCATTGTGTGCCACCACCAAAACTGAAACGTTTGTTCTTTATTTTATCTGGGTACACAGAGCTTAGTTTACAAAATCACAGAACCAACTAGGTTGGAAAAGACCTCTGATATCATCGAGTCCAACCTGTGACCCAACACCACCTTGTCAACCAGACCACATCCAGTCTCTTCTTAAACACCTCCAGGGACAGTGACTCTACCCCCTCCCTGGGCAGCCCATTCCAATGGCTGAGCACTCTCTCTGGGAAGAACTTCCCAATGTCCAACCTAAACCTGCCCTGGTGCAGCTCAGGGCTGTGTCCTCTTGTCCTGCTGCTGGTTCCTGGGAGAAGAGCCCGACCCCCCCCTGGCTCCCCTCTCCTGTCAGGGAGTTGCAGAGAGTGAGGAGGTCTCCCCTGAGCCTCCTCTTCTCCAGGCTGAGCCCCCCCAGCTCCCTCAGCCTCTCCTCACAGCGCTTGTGCTCCAGTCCCTTCCCCAGCCTTGCTGCTCTTCTCTGGACCTGCTCCAGCCCCTCCATGTCCTTCCTGAGCTGAGGGCCCAGAACTGGACACAGCACTCCAGGGGTGGCCTCACCAGCACCGTTTGTTTGAGTTACATCCCTTCTCTCATTCTTGAGGACTTCTCCACGATTGTGTTGTTCCTTATTTGGGCACTGTGAGCAAAGTTTCTGTTTCTTCTCTCAGCTCCTCCAGCCTTTCACAGGGCAGTGATGGTGTCCAAGGCACAGGGGGTGTAACCCGGGCTGGCGGCTCCAGCAGGAGCTCGGGGTTGTTGGTTCCCAGGCGAAGGGGTTGTGTTGGTGTGTTGGGGGTGTTGGCAGCGTTGGCAGTGCCCCCACCTGCCCTTGTCTCCTGCCCCCAGATGCGCAGCACCAGGAAGGTGTCGGTGTGGCCGGTGGCCTTCGTGGGGGGCCTGCGCTACGAGTCCCCCAAGGTGAACTCGGCGGGGAAGGTCTACGGCTGGAAAACCGTGTTCGACCCGCACCGGCCCTTCGCCATCGACATGGCAGGCTTTGCTGTGAACCTCAGGCTGATCCTGCAGCGATCTCAGGCCTACTTCAAACTGAGAGGGGTCAAGGGGGGCTACCAGGAGAGCAGCCTGCTCCGGGAGCTGGTCACCCTCAACGACCTCGAGCCCAAGGCTGCCAATTGCACTAAGGTATGGTCTTGTCCTCGTGTCCCTCCTGGGCTGTGAGGGTGCAGGGGTGGAGGAAAACACATTCAGCCCCATCATTTGGTCACTTCATAGAATGGTGGAATGTCCTGAGTTGAAAGGGGCTCACAAGGATCATTGATTCAACTCCTGGCCCTGCACGGACACCCCAACAATCCCACCCTGTCCCTCAGAGCATTGTCCAAACCCTCCTGGAGCTCTGGCAGCCTTGGGGCTGTGCCCACTGCCCTGGGGAGCCTGGGCAGTGCCCAACCAGCCTCTGGGGGAAGAACCTTTCCCTGAGATCCAACCTGAGCCTGCCCTGACACAGCTCCAGCCGTTCCCTGGGTGCTGTCCCTGGTCCCCCAGAGCAGAGCTCAGTGCTGTCCCTCTGCTTCCCCTTGTGAGGAAGTTGTAGACAGCCACGAGGTCTTCCCTCACTCTCCTCTTCTCCAGGCTGCTCCTCTATGTTTTCAGGGAGCAAGGAAGCTGGGAATGGGTGATTATGCATTAAAATGTGTGAAGGGCATTTATCTGTTTTGGTTGCAGGCTGCTAGCAGCTGCCTTGAAATATGGAGTCTTCTCTCCCCTGTAACTGTTCTTCTTTCTTACATCACCCCTAGAAAACATCCTTATTATTTTCAAGGAAACTTCATTTGGGGGAGATTTTACTGCAGTCAGTAAAATCTTCAGGAAGCTTCATTTTGGGGGGATTTTTCTGCAGTCAGTTAATTATTATTTGACTGTACACATTGCCTAGGAGCCTCCAGGTCACGGAGCAGGACCCTGTGTGCTAAATAATATAGAAACTCCTTGCCCTAAAGACTTCCAGTCTTAGATGGGAGACAACAGATTACTATCTCTCTGGGATGACAGGTAAAGTGTGAGGCACAATGAGACAATGCTGGTTAATGTGACAGGCATCAATCACAGCCCATCAACCACAGAGGTGCTGCCAAGGAGTTTTGAAGCTTCCTGAGTGGGTCCCCTGAGCACTCAGGTGTGCAAGGGCTCCTCTGAGGTCAGAGCACTCTCACACCTTTGTCTGTAATAGGCATCACCCAGGCCGATTTAGGGAGCCTTTATTGCTTAATTATCCCAACAGGATTATTCTTTTTTTTTTTTTTTCTGCAAATAAATTGTTACTGCCAACAGTCCCAGGGTTGGATTCAGGTCTCCATCCCTTTTTGGGTTAGGAAAAAAAAAAAAGGTGACGAAAACCCTTTGTCTCTTTCCATCTGCACTGCTCCACAGCCGTGGAAAAAACAAGGATCTCAGGGTTCAGGCAAGGAATCCAGCAGTAAGGAAAAGGAGTCAAGGGAAGGAGCAAGTTTGTATTATCTGATACCTGCTGTGCCTCCTCTTTTAATCCACATGTCTATGGCTGTGCCTGTCCAACGCTGGGACAAATAGCACAGCCAGTCTCCCAAGGGTGGGAAAAGAGATTGGGTTAAAATTAGATGCCTGGTTTTGGGCAGTGTGTGCCCTCCTAGCTAACAGGAAAGCACTGGCTGGAAATAATTCTGTTGCCAGCAGGCCAGGAGAGATGGACAGGTTGCTTTTAGGCTGGTGTACAGAAGATTAGGGGTGTTTACTCCATGCCCAGTTACGCAGTCCTCGGTGTATTGTCCCTGCTGTAAATAGCTGCTGGGAAGAAGCTGTGTTCAAAGGCTGGGGATAGGAAATGACGGTCCTGGAGGAACACAGGGAGGAAGGAGAGGAAGGAAAAGGTTGTTTCCAGGCAGGAGGAAACAAATGGTGCTGTCAGCCAGGCTGCCGTGGCCGTGCTGTGACACGGGAGCTGGTGGAGTGGGGAGGGAGCAGGGATTGCTGCCTGGGATCCAGAGCAGACTGTGTTTCTTTTCTTGGCTGGGCTGGGGAGATCTTACAAGGGTCCTTGTTGTGAGCTGAATGCTGTCTGCTCCTGGCAAGCTCTGAGTGCAGCTTTGCAGGTCGGGTTTGCCTCTCTGCCTTAGCTGGTGCCAGCAGCCTCCATTTCCCAGTTGCTGTTCTGCTCGCCCATTTTACCGGGAGCAGAGTCCGGACAAGCAGCAGAGGAGGACAGAAGTCAGCTGGAGTCTGGGGTCCTCTCACCCTGAGGTGGAAGCACAGACTCCTCTCTCACCGTGCTGCTGTGCTCCCATCACTTGTCGTGGTTTGCTTCTGTTAAACACCTGTTTGCAGCGAGGTTTACATTAAAAATTATGATGTGCTTATATAGAGTCATTAAGGAGGGATCAGAGAAATATGGAAGATAAGCATAGACATCTGTTCTCCAAAAATGCTGCTTTTCCTGTGTGCACTGCTGCTGCTTGTAATATTTATCAGCATTCAGCCCACAAATGCACTCACCTGCAAAAAGCTGAAGCTTAGGCCAGAGGCCATATATCCTGCTTATTTTCCATGATTTGGGAACTGTTCAAAATGAAGGAGAAAGTAAAGGAAGTCAGTGTTACTTGCTGAGGAGAAAGTTATCCCTCCTTATCAGGAGGGAAGGGTTGGTTTCTCCTGGAGTTGTAAGGAAACAAGGCTTTGTTTTTCACTGTATTTCCGTGGTCTGCTGCTTCTGCATTTGCCCACACACCCCCCCAGAGCAAACCATCCTCTCTTCAATCCACTGACACAGGAGAGAGGTCTGAAATTCTGTCTTCCCACGAGGTTGGGGGACATTTTGCTCCCCATTTTCTATTAACACCTTGGGAAAACAATCTGCAGTGTGCTCAGCCAGGATCACTGAGTGGCCCCAGCTACTGAAAAAGCCTCAGCTCGAGCTGGCACAAGAGGACAGACCACAAAGTACAAGGTCATTGGAAATGAGGCATCTCATTCCAGCTGCTCCTGGAGCCACTTGTTTCTCCAGGGAGACGGGCATAGGTGGGTTTCTTCGGATGAAGCAGCTTCTGTGCACTCTCGTGGTCTGGGCAGCAATTCCCTGGGATTGAAGTGGTGGCTGAAAGAAGTCGTTCCTGTTGCCTCCTTGTCTCTTGGCTGAGTAAAATCTGAGATGAAGTCTGTGGGTGGGCAGCTCGGTGTTCAGGTGGATCCTGTGGAAGGGCTTGTCTGGCAGCTCAGCACTGCCTGGGGATGGTGTCTCTGAGCTTCCAGGCAGGTGCTCGTGGGCACTGTGAATGCCACAGTCTGGGGAACAGGTTGTTGTCAGGCACAGGCTGGAGAACAGGGAACAAACCTGTCGTTTCAGCTTGCTGTCTCTTTTTCTTCACATTTCATTCATTCTCCCTTTCAAATAACAATTATTGAAACCCTCCACGGAGGGTCTGTGTGCTTGAAACCCCGTGACCCCTTCCCACTTCAGCTCTCCTGTTTGCTTTTTAATTTCCTGTCAGAAGACAATGAATTATTCTGCATGGAGATGAATCTTTGTAATCCCCTGAGATCTGCTTTGAGTCCTGTGATTCTGAATGGCAGAGCTGTAAATGATTGGAAGAGTTTCTCAGAAGTAGAGTTTTTTTCAAGTGGAGTCCCTCGGGTGACCTGTATGAAACCACTGCTCAGGGGAAGTCAGATCCTTGGTCCCCCTCACTCTTTGCTCTGTTGGTGCACAAGCCAAAGCTTCCCTGAGGCATAAAACAAGCTGCCTGTGGGAAAAAAATCAAGCATTGGCTGAGAGGAAAAGCAGGTGTTTCTGTGCTAAATGGTGATCTCCCTCCCACGGTAAAGAGCACAGCATGAAAAATGCTAAAAGCTGCTGTATCGAGCTGAAAACGTGGAAAATGGGTCCATTTTAGTTAATCTGATCTGTCTTTTTTGGCACTTGGCTTTAACAATGCAGAAGTGGGACCCACTTCAAGGGAAAGCTCCTGATGTGTCATTGTGGTCTTGTTTATGGGGTGTGAGTTGCTGGACCGTGAGCAGGGCTGAGTGTTTATGTGTCAGGAGGGGAAAGAGCTCTTACCTGCTCCTGCTGGAAAGGAGAATTGGCCACAGGAATTCTCAAGCACCTGGCCTGCACTAAGGTTTACATCTCCTGTTGTTGGATGAGGACCTGTAACTGATGCCTGCAGAGCCCTGAGAGCCACTTGTGGGACCTGTTTGGTTTTGCCTTTTCATGGGAAGCAGCACAGTAATTGCAGCAGCGTTGCTGTGGTGGGTGAGCAGGGCTGGGAATAAAGGGTAACTTTGATGAGCAGGCTCAGAAGTGGTTGTGGGGGACGATGAAATGGTTTTTTGGACCCACTCCAGCCAGCAGTTGGTCTCTACTGCCTTAGTATTAGGCGAGATTTAAGCCCTGCACAGGAGGTGACTGCTCACATCAGAGACAAATTTGGTCAAACAAGCTTCTTGGGAAGGCAGGGGTGCTCCCCTTGAACCAGGAGGGTTTGAAGAGTGCTTTGTTCATCCTTTAGAACACAGAGCATGCCCTCGTTTTTCAGCAGAGCAGGGGCTGGGTGGGAATGGTTTGCAGACACTGGGATTCAATGTGCAGAGTATTGTCATAGCAACCAGAGGGAAACCCCTGCAAGGTAGGAAATATCAACACTCAGGTGAAGGGAGGCAGGAAACCTGCTCTGAGAGGATAAAGCTGCTCCCAGCAATCCAGGTTTTAGGAGCAAAGCAATAAGTATAATTGAGTCTAGTGAGGAGGAGAGTATTTTAAACAGCTTCCAGAACCATCTGAGCCAGCAGCACAGCACAGCTAGTAGAAACTATTTACCCATAATAGCCCCCCTGAAATGTTCAAACACCTCATATTTTGCCAGTTCTCCTCCACAGATGTTGATCTTTATGAAACTCTGCTGCCAAGGCTGAGGGAAGCTTTTAGTAGAAGCTTCAGTTCTGTTTTAAGCAAGTTAGAGTGGGGATTTAACGTGATACCTGGTACAGAATAGGGGGTGGCAGCATTCCAAAGGAATTTTGGGGGAGGGGGTTGGAATTTAGAGGGGATATGGTAGGGTAAGGATAAGGCTTGCTGGGTTATGAAAGGAGCCTGGAGCACGTGGGAAGCAGGGATGATTCTGGAACCAGCTCCTGCATCGTGCAGCTCGGAGGCAGCAGAGGTTGCAGCAGCACTGCAGCAGCACTGTAAGTCCCTCTCAGCTCAGTGACACCCTCACAGCTTTTTAGGGTCTGAAAAGACTTTAAGAGTGAAAAAGAAGTGATAGTGAGGTTAAGGAGCAGGCTGATGTCTTCTCCCCAACAATGGATTTTCAGGGACGCACCGAAAACTTCCTTTTACATTTCCCACGGCCAAAGGTGATGGGAGCAGCTGGTGGTGCTCCTACAGCTGCCTCTTCCCTCTCTGATCCACCAGTCCCAGTGTGACCTGAAGTGCCAGGAATTTGCCCTTCCCCTCTGAGCCAGGCAGGTGACTCCACTGGCCAAGGATGCAGCAACATGACAACCAAGAACCAGAGTGAGGAACTGGCTCTGTGGGGAAACACGGCTGTGATTCCCTGCTTGTGAGGGAGCTGCCCTACCCCATTGGGAGGCTGATGAGCCTTTTGAGGAAGATGGTTGATAACTGCACGGAAGGAGCAGGTTAATGTCCCACGACAGTACACTGTAAAATGGGTAATTTCTGTGCACTGTGCATCTCGCAGAGCAGCAGCTCTGCCTAAGTGAAGGTTTATGCAAAGCCCCGCTCAGCGGTGAATGCACCATTAGGCCCCGGGGTGGCTGCTTAAATTGCACTATTGATTTAATGTGCAGGAATATTTGTTAGTGCAGTGGAGGGGTGCAGCTAATGACTTCTGCTGGCTTCTTCAGATTTTAGTCTGGCACACAAGGACAGAAAAGCCCGTGCTGGTGAATGAGGGGAAGAAAGGATTCACAGATCCCAATGTGGAAATCTGACTGTGCGTGGCTGAGCCGAGACCAACACCAGGTAAGAGCACATGTTTCCAACAGTAATGAGAAGCTGGACAATGGCAGGGAAAAGATAAAAGCTCTTTTAAATGAGCTTTTCTGTTTCCATTTTTCACATCTCTGACCTTCCCTTACTGCTAAACTTCTCCGGACCATTAGTTAACCTCTCTTTTTTTTAAGTTAATCAATATTTAAGACAGGCTGCTAAAGGGAAAATGCCTGGTGAGAGGTTGAGAAGGAGAAAAAATGCAGGGAGTAGGAGTTTAGGTAGAAGTTATGCTGAAAAAAAAAAAAGCCTTGTCTAAACAAAAAGGTTGCCTTAACTGTGCTAATATAGCTAAAGGACAGGGGTGAAGGGTGGGGATTCATCCACCTGAGGAAAGCTAAAGCAGTTATAAGCAAAAGGATTTTTAAGTCAGGCAGAAGCTTTCACTGAAGGAAGAGTTTAATTTTTATCCACATCAAAGCCACAGAGAGTCAGTGACAAGGTAGGGAGGGTGTGGATTAAAGCCCACTGAGGTGTTTGTTTATCTAAGGTGAGCATGGAGTGTTTTCCTCAGTGGAAAGGAGGAAGGAACACACACACTGATGGCTGACTTGCACTAGTTCATGCCCTGGCTCCTCACCTTCACTACCTGAGCACCCTGGTGCATTCAGCCTCCTGTATTTCTCGAGAGCACACTGCAGTTGGTTTGCAGGAGTGAAGGATGGGCTATTCACCTGTGTCTGCATCCAGGCTGTGGAGCTGTGCTTCATTATTATGAGGAGAAAACTAAATGCACAGCTCCCTTTAATTGGAGCGCAGAACCAGGCCTGGAGGGGAGAGGAGGTTGCTGCTCTTGAGTACAGAGAAGAGCAGCAGAGGAAGGGGGTAGATTTGCTCAGCAGTGGTGTATTTTTAAGAGTAATGAGCTCTCTTATGGCACATTCCCTGAGGGCAGCTGGATGGAGCCCTGGCTGCTGCAGGGGCTGCTCTGTGGCCCGTGGCAGGGCAGCAGGAGAGCCTGGCCCCCGTTCTCTGAGTTATATATATCAGCTGTGCAGAGAGGCCGTGGCTCTTCAGCGCTGTCACAACTGCTGCTCCCCAGCCCAGTTGCTTAGCAGCAGAACTCACGGAGCTGAGCTGGGTTTTGGGCTGCTTCCAAGGGGTAGCAGCTAAATGCAGAGAGGCAGAAGGGTGATATACATGCTGGTTGTGTCTCTGTTGCAGAAAATTTCTTCATGCACAGCCTGCAAGGTTCCTCTCCACAGCATCCGACCGGCCAGCCAGGCAGGAGCCAGGACCTCTGCTGACTTCCAAGAGTTTTAGTGTACTGAAACCAAGCACCACTGCATACATAATCCCCCTGGATCCCCCTGCCCTTCCTCCTGGACTTGGAGCACAACCAGATGCTCCGGAGGTGGAGAAAAAGCACAGAAAACCCAGGACTGACGTGAGCTCCAGGACAGGAGCAGCTGCCTCGAGGGATGCTCGGTTTGGGAGAAGTGCCCCAGGGCTCCCTGCACTGGAGCCTGGCCCAGCTGGAATGGGGGGCTGGACTGAGGGGCTGTTTGACAGGACCTGAAGGCCAGGGTGGGAATGTCCACAGGAGTGTGTTGGCCCCAGTGAGTGGTTTTTCCTGAGACACACGAACCCCGTGTGCGACGTGAGCAGCTCTCTGTCCGTGGAGGGGACAGCTGCCTTCTGAGATGGCACCTTAGCCCTTAATTTTAAACCTACTTTAATCAGTGTTTATTACGCTGCACAAGACAGGGGGAGAGGGGGGAAAGCAAGGCAGGTTAGAACAAACCCATAAGTATCAAACAAACCCACAAGTATCACTGTTCTCTTTGTATTCCCTTTTCCTTCGCTGGTTTCATGGTTTGGAGGGCACTCTGACACACTTTGTGTTCATGGAATCATAGGAGGGTTTGAGCTGCAAAGGAATTTAAAGGTCATCTGCTCAAACCCCTCTGCCATAGACAGGGACACCTTCAACTAGACTAGGCTGCTCAGAGCCCTGTCCCACCTGAATATTCCCAGGGATGGGGCATTACCCACCTCTCTGGACAACCTGTGCCAGTGTTGCACCACTCTCATTGTAAAAAAATGTCTTCCTTATATCTAGTCTATCCTCTTTTAGTTTAAAATCATCACTCCTTGTCCTATCCCTGCTAAAAAGTTTGTCCCCATCTTTCTCACAAACCCCAGCTGAAGAGATGCAACACTTGGGGGGCCTCACCAGAGTGGGACAGAGGGGCAGAATCACTGAGCTGTTCATCTTTACCAGTTCACCACCCTCTCTGGATGGAGTGATGTTTACAGCACGTGGTTCTTTATTCATCCACACTAAAATAATTGCAAATGGAGTTAATGAGATTGTTGGGGACCTATACCATAATATTCACCCAGATCTTGGTTCTGTTTAGCCCTAATTTGGTTCACGTGAGCGTTAGGCGTGGCCTTCTCTGAAGGATGCTCCTACATAAAGGCAAATTTCCACTCTCAAAAAAATAAAGTTAACTGCTTAAAACTAGGGACCGAATGCTAAAAGGTGATTTTAGTGCATTTCCCATTTGACTGGAATGTATCCCTCAGCCCCAGCCCCTTTTCCATGCTCCTGCAGAGCTCCTGGTGTGAAAAGCCACGCTGGAGCAGTTCCCAGAGTCACCTTCTGATGGATAGAGCAGCACCCTTGGAAAGGGGATCCTGGGCTTAGTGCTGTTTCTCCAGCACCTGGCTTGAGGGAGGGTCAAGGAAACCTTTAGTCACCTCTTCCCTGCCCTGTAACATCAAAGGACCCAGGACAGAGTTGGTGGAAGGGTGTTCTCTGATGAAATCATGTTTTGCTTCTCAGTGACAGACACAGGACTGGGCAGTGCAGAGGAGGGACCTGGGTGCTACTGCCTTGGGTGACTCTGTGTCTGCTGAGGAACAAACTGAGGTACAACATGTCCCTTTACAAACCCCCAGACTTCCTCCCCCTTTCACAGCTGTTGTCAAACCTTTGATCACCCCCTGCTGTCCCAATTCTTTCAAAAAAAAAAAAGGTCTGAAGCACAATTTTACCTTTGAACTGAGGGAAAACGTAATCCTGGAAATAGGCTTGGTTATTTTTAGCCCTAACAGGTAGAACTGTTAAAATGCTCTGGGTTTGATTATTGGCTTCACGGTGCAGAAGTCTCCCCTTGGACTAATGACATTGTGTATTTCCTGATGTTTCAAAGGAAAATATTTTTTTTGTAAGTTATTTTCTCCCTCTGTATATCAGAACCATTGGGGAAAAGTTGCATTCTTTAGTTCCCAGCCACAGAAGCCTTTACAAAAACGTTCCTATAGATGCAATGGCTGAAGCACTACTTGGATAGAAAGTGTTGGATGCTGCTGGGAACGGGGGTTGTTATCCTGGATTAAAATAGTAGTTCTTTGCACTCAAGCAGATTAATCCTCTTGTTGTATTGGCTTCCCAAGTTCCCTTCAGTCTGTAAACCCTACAGTGGAAAGAGACATTTTTTCAAGGACTACCAAGTTCTCATACCATTTAAACAGTTTCCAACTGATGTCCTCTCCGAGCTGCACGTTTTGGTTCACTACTCTTAATTCCAAGCCCTGCTGGGTTGCAACCTTCCCTCCTTGGAAGGAAATAACTTTCAGAAAATGCAAAGGATGGAGTCCTGAGCACAGCCCTGCACATTTGCTCTGGTCACACGAGCCTGGGCCCTTCCAGCTTTCCCAGAGGCAGCTGTGGCCCTTGGGAACAGGGATAGATATGTCCAGCTCTGGCCAGGATGGAGTGTGTTACAGCTGCACTGTCTGTTCTCAGTTTTAAACAAACTGTATTTAAATTTGTTAAATAAAATGATGGTTTCTAAGAGCCAGGATACCCTGCAACTCCATTACAGAGCCAGTGCATGGTTGGTGTTTCTCTCAGAGCCCGAATCCTGTTCCTGGCACAGAGAGCAGGGACTGAGCAACTCCTTGGAGGTTCTGAATGGATTCACAGCTTGAGTTTGATCTCTTCCTCTCCCTAAAGAGGCTGCAGCTCCTCTGTGACCTGGAGCTGGTGAGTTAAAACAACTTGTCATGTTTACCTAAATCCTGAGTTTCTGCTTGGAGGGACAAAAAAAAAAGAAACCAGGACCCAAGATCCCCCAGCGGGTTTAACTAGAAAGTATGGATGTGTTCCCATTTGTAACTATGTACACAATCCCTTTGCTTCTATTCCCACCAAAATCTGATCCCTGCTCCTTTTACAAGGAGGAATTTCATTTTTAGGTGCTTCACAGCGTAAGCCTGGGTGGGGAGAGGACTGCAAGGCTCACTTAATCTTTTCTCCTCCTTGGAAATTCTCATTCCTGCCTGGCCTAAAACATAAGGATTTGACAGAGGACAAAACACATTTCACTTTTTAAAACTTTTTTTTTTTTTTCCTTTTGAGAGAGAGACAACCTCCATCGTAAAACTCAGTGGGAAAAAAAAGCTCAAATTAAAAGTCATTTGACAACCACCTTGGCTTCCAACAACTGAACAAATAACAGCCTCTTTGCAGAGAGAGGTGCTAAAATCTGCCTGGAAGCACAACAAAATGGTTTTCCACACCTGATTACCCACACATTCACCAACTATTTTCTCCCTACCTAATTATAAAAACAAGGAGGCCAATAATAAGACAGTTTTAAAGTCACTGGAAAGCTGAGCTCAGCTTTCGGTTCGGATGGCTTCGGTTCTTTCTTTCTCTCCCACCTGCCTCCAGCACCTTTTTTACTCCCCTACATTCACCAGATGGTCCAAAACATGCACAGCCAGCCAGGCTGTGGGTCCTCAGTAGTCCAGGGAGATGAGCTGCTGCATCCATCCATCCATCCATCCTTGAAACAAGGGACCCCGCTTCCTCAGGGCCCATCCCCTCCTCTGAACTCACTGCCAAAGGGCAAATCCTTTACCTGGGTCTAGTGGAGATTAGCATGCCCATCATGTCCCCAGACATGCAACCAGGAATGTTCAGGATGAACCAAACACGGGAGAGCAGCTCTCCTCAGTCCACGTACTGGGTCCTTCCCAAGTAAGGGATGTCCACGGACTGGATGATGCGGCCCGCCGTGCGCTCCTCGAAGATGACAATCTGCAGGACACAGGGGGATCTCTGAGTGGGATTCCTTCAGGCAAAGGCTGAGTTACTCTGAGTATTTTTAGGAGGAAAAGGCACATGCTCACAGCAGGGGAAGGAAGCATCACTTAGAGGGATCAATCAGGGCGAGTCTGAACGGTGACGGTGATTCTCCCTCGGCACCACGTGGTGCAGAAGTGAACCAGCATCACATCAGGTGTGTCTTGATTCTCAACTTGATGCAGTGCTTTGAAGTTTAGCTGCCAGTGTCTTAATGCTTGTCAGAGCCAGAGGAGCTTTACAGCAGCACCTTCCCTAATTTTTACAGACCTTAGGAGGTAACACTCTCCCTTTATTGTGCTGGCTTCCAGCTGGAAATGGGTAATTAATATCCTGTACATGTCTGGCTCTTTGGGACGTGGCTCAGAGCAGGATCTTTAACAACACAAACAGGCAAAGAGCAATCCCCCCCTTTCCCCTCACCTCGTTGTCCCCTTTCTTTAACCAGGGCCCAGGAAGGTAGAGAGTTTCCTGAGGTCCAATTTTCCAGTAGCGGCCCAGGTTCTGCCCATTGACAAACACCACTCCTTTTTCCCAGCCCTGGAATCAAGGCAGAACATGGAATTACTGATGCAGCTCTGCTGCCTCGTTAACATCCCCCCAGGAAACTAAATCTGCTTTCACACTTGCATTCTTTCCAGCCACTTTCCACAGGTTTTCTGCTTGCTTTCCCTGCCCAAATCCCTGAAGCCATGAACATTTAAGTAAGCCCTGTTGAACAGGAGTTATCCTTAATGTACTAATTAAAGGGATAAAGCTCTCAAAAATGTGCAATTCATGATTCATCCTTGCACAGGAAACTTCATCCTTTTGAACAGGCTTTATTCCTTCCCAAGCATGGAATATCTCCCCTCACCTCTTTCCCAGGTGACAGAAATACTGTATTGCTGCTGACTGGCATCATTTACAGCAAAGTATTAATGGGAAAGTGAGCAGTAAGTAATGACTGGTTGGCTCTGAGGGAGGGAAGTCAGAGGAGAAAGTTTAATAATACTTAATATCTCATCTGAAGTTCTATGCAGGAGCAGCAATCTTCCACAGAAAGACAACAGGAATGCCAACTCTCATGCCATGGCTATAAAGAAGTGACTCTTTCCATATCACAGAGGATAAAACTAGTCCTTCCTTTATTTTTTGTGCCCATTAGTCTTCTGGTAAATAGAAAATAGCATTTGTATGTCAATAAAAAAGACTAAGTGGTCATTAGCAGCTCTGCAGGGTCAGTATTTTTCATCAGGACAACCACAGACTGAACAGAATTACCTCCCAGCTGGAGGAGACTCTACACCCCAGAATAACAAGACCACAAGAAGACTAAAGAACTACAGAACTACAGACAGAGCTCAGTCACAGCTAGTGCACAAGAAGAGTCTCTCTAATCAGCTTTTGAAAAATCTTGATCAAGAAAAAGCAAGACTTGCCTGTAGCTTCAGGAAAGTGTCCTGTGGCTGTTGCTCTATCCACAGCCTTCCACGGAAAAACGCTGGACCAACAAAGTAATCTGGGACTGAGCTCCATCCAGAAACTTGCTGCAGGCTGAAAGAGAGGGACCCACTTCAGACAGGTGTGTACTGGAGCCACCTGGCTGTGTCTTCATGGTCACAGCACTGGGAGCCCAGCTTGTGGTCCAAGAGAAGGATATCTGGGGCTACCACCAACTCTGATATTTCACAACAACATAAAATACTTTTTACGAGTGACAGGACAAGGGGGAAGGGAGTCAAACCAAAAGAGAGAAGGTTTAGATTAGATATTAGGAAAAAATTCTTGGCTGGGAGGGTGGGGAGGCCCTGGCACAGGTTGCCCAGAGAAGCTGTGGCTGCCCCAGCCCTGGAAGTGTCCAAGGCCAGGTTGGACAGGGCTTGGAGCAATCTGGGAGAGTGGGAGG